TAGTTTATTTTCATGTCAAAGAAAATAAAAGATAAAAGAAAATGTACATATTTTGCATGTTGGTTCAATAAATAAACCAGCCCATTCTTAAGCATTCGATCCAACGTCAGCACTATGACGTCCGCCTTCGAACCACGGTATTCATAGCTAATATGATTTCCATCTGCCTTTGTATAATAATATAAATATAGTTTTGGTCAATATAGACCATCCCACTGCCTATAGTGTATTTCTAAGTGCTCTACAGGGTCAAGCATTCTTGCTGAATAGAAAACCCACAATTACTTCACTTAGTTAGGCAAATTTATTTTTATCATCTTCTCTAATAACAAATATAAACGTTAATATGTACTACAATATAGAAAAAGAGTGCCATATATAGAATGATAATATTGAATAGTTTATTGATATCTCACGGTTTTTGTATAAATAAAATTGCATTTAAATATATCTAATCAAAGCCAACCTGTCAAACCCGGGTTTGCTTACCAGACACGTGTATATACATACAGTAAACTTATAAACACTTACTGTTAATCTTGCACCATACTCATAAAACTGTCTGAAAGACAAGACTTGAACCGTGCATTTATAAGACAAATAGTGACACACCTGCTTGCATACATACGAAGGGCAATAACTCCTGTACCCCTTACTAACTGCAACTCTCTGAATAGCACGTTTCGTCATAGAGAGTACAGAAAAGTCATACATACACTGTATATGTTACGGCCATTTTTTTATTTATTGTTTTACATATTCCGAATACTTGAACACGCGACACTTTACAAAACTTACTAGTTTACTTATTTAGCATGAATACTTTTGGCATTGATCAGATACCTTTGTGTGAATGTTACATAATGGTATAGAATGTAATTACAGCACCCCTACAATAACGATAAACACTTTACCCTGCACAGTGTTGCAGGTGTTTTCTTACCTTTTGTCATGCTTGACCTAACGATGATGATTTATAGAAGTATGATCCATGAAAACCCATTAAAACAACACGGTTTTTGCTTCAAATATATATTATTACTGAATAATGATTGAATTTCTAAACCTCTTGAATAAATCTGAATTATTTCAGTCACGGTACGGTTATATCTATTATCTATGCTTCATTTACTGAATTCCATATTGCTGCTGTTAAAATTTGAAAATTTTAAGTGACTGAAGATTTACTAGCTGTGGTGGTTTCATAAATGTAAATAACTCGAATTTAAGGTCTGACAACAATTTCAATCTTGATCTGCTCTGCCGTGATATATCATTTTTCTAGAAGTTCCAACACCATGGAAAAGTTCACTCAGGTTACAATCCGAGCTATTGATTGGTCAGTCAAGTACCAATCAAAAGACAAGGTGTCCCGTCAGATGTCAAGATACTGTATGCAATCGGTACAAATCAAAAGGAATAATAGTATCAAAACATATACCTCAACAAAATCCTCATAGAACATGTAAATAGATCTAGCATTTATACGGTAGGAATTTTTAAGATAATTTTTTACACATTTTACTCCTTGTTTACTTGAAATTACCCAGTATTTCTCTTATTGTTTAATTTCATTTAATCAAGGGATTTTAAGCACTTATCCTTGTGTTTCCATGGTGGTCTTTAGCAATTTACATTTCCAACTTTTCAACCCAAGATGTATGTTCAAGTGTAATCCACCTTTTGCATGCTGTATCTATTACGAAATTTTAAAGGTGTTGTCCCATGTGTGTCTCAGGTTAAGCATTAAAGGATGTTCTGGACAGTCGCGTAATTTTTACCATGTGCCAGTATGCAAACTTTTTGTTTGTTATAATTTATACTCAAAGTGATTTCAAAGAAAATTTTGTTCTTTCAATATTCCCAGAATTTCCTCCCGCTAACCTGTCCATTATATTTCTGTCACTCCCTAGAATATGACAGATATCGCATAAAAAGAAACAATATCGTGATCTCACGGGAAAAATCAGATATGTCGTCACAATCACTTCTCGACGGGAGAAGTCTTATGCAAATCACGATAAAAAACATATTACTAAATGATGAAAACTTAGATATTTATATCAAAGTTTTGGAATGCTGGGACAAAAACAATCGTCTCCTACCTTGAGAGTGTAACACAGAAATGTTAAACCCTCGGCAGAGTTTCGGATGAGACACCCATTGAGTTTGAACGTTTCTCTGTCACAGCCTCAAGGTAGGGGAACATTCTATCAATTGTGAATTAAATCAAAATATCAAAGTCTATAAAACAAATAGAAAGTGTGACATTAATTATTGATCAAAAAATCTTAAGTTTGCAAAGACGGAAATGTGTATAAAAACATTATACTGAAGCGAGAGAAAAAAATAAAATCTTCTGATTCAAAGAAAATATAAACAAATTTGATATATTTATACATTTAGGCAATCATTTACTGTAAATATGTTACCTGTCATGAATGAAAACATTTATCAAACAAATTCAAATTCTTATATGAAAATTAGTTGAGTGTTACACTGTACTCATGTACAATTGAAGCATATTTTTTGCTAATCTTTATTCGTTTATTCCAGTAAATCATGTTGTTTGACTCTTTATAGTTTTTTTTAACTTAGTATGTTTTCTTACAGAACGGACGGTACAAATAAATACAAATATTGAATTGGTTTGTAAACAAAACAAGGAGTGAAATACAAGTGGTAAACGACGGGTTGAATTAAACAAACACAACACGAATTTTCAAGCGCCAAGTTTTGTTTTACACTCACGCTACACGTATACGTAAATAATAACAACATATTTCAATAATTATTGTTGCAAGCTTATTTGGCATATTAAGTAGCTTCATTACTTTTTTTATGAATCTACTTACTTTGTTAAAAGTACTGTGTTTCATATTGAGAACATTCCTTTCATTTTGACATAATTATGGTTGACATTACAATAATTTGATATATAAAGTTGTCTAAAAGCTACAACAGATACATTGGTATAAATAGTAGTATTTCGTCCCAAATACAGTTACTACATATATAGAGAACATGACCTTCCCAAGGTGCCATGCACGCGTCTTATACAGAAGAAATATGGAGTCAATGTTTAATTAGGTCCGGTGTTTACATTTTAGAGATTTTTATTATCACTCAGGCACATTATTGTGCGCAACAAGAGGTCATCATAAAGTACAATATAACAATGATATGATTGACCGTAAAGCACTCATCTTACTATGCTAGCGTACAATAATATAGTGGAAACTATTACACTGTTCATACCTTGTTATAATAGACAATATAACGCACTGATCATACAGTGATACTTATCATACACTGTGATATACAATGTTACACTCATTTTACAATACTATTACAATGGTATAATACACAGCATTACATTCACCCATACCGAACGTTCACACAGTGGTATAGCAGGCACTGTTGCATCCATCTTACAGTACAATCCTACAATAATATAATTACAGTATTACACATATATTACTCACACTACATGTTACATGTATTATATATAGTATACCACACCATACAGGGCAATCATACCATGGCATAATAGTGACTATCATACTCATCATACCATATAATATTACAAAGGTATAATAGAGAGTGTTACAATCCCATCATACAATACTGTAATAGACAGATACAAGTACCTTCAGTCAGGGATATAAGAAATAAACCATGATAAACAAGCTGTTACCACACTCATTATACAATACAATTATGTTAGGTTTAACAAAATGATCAGTAATATCTCTATGTATACAAAAGTTTACAGTTTGATGTGTAAAATTCACATATTATTTTTTAATTGTCTTTCTAGTAATTGTATGAACAGCGATAGATTTGATAATATTCTAACATTGCATATTGATATTAATCCTTTCATTTTATGAACAGATGAATTAGAGGTATAATGAAAAGGTACATATTTTCTGCGGATTTGACTTACATAATCATTTGAGCATAAAAACAAATAATGATATCCGCTTCCAACTTCAGTAAAACAAAGCGGACAGATTCTGTCTTCACGTGGTGTTCTAGTCCATCACCCAGTCTCTATTGGCAGATATATATCATTGGTTCTTAACTTACAGATAGTTATTCTATCTTATTGTTTGAGCATAGTTAAGTATGTTCCTAAAATTGATGTTTAAATATTGCATATGTTTGACCCCGGGAAGAATTTTCAATATCAGTATACCACTGTTGCATAAATTGGTCATACAGAATAGTTTTAAAACTAATCCTAAGGTAATTTTTATTCATAGTGCAAGTTTTTTTGTCGTAACCATACGTAACTTAGTCTCGTGAAATTAAATAGATTCTTGATATAAGAAATCGATTTATAATCAGCGAAATCATTTTCAGGTAAATTCAGCATAGGCTTGTACATTATACAAGACAATTTATTTTCACCTGTATTTAGCTTATACCAAAACATTCTCATTCTAGATTTGATTTCAATATTCAGACGGTACCTACCCGTATCACCATATACCATTATATTTGCCGGGGAGCTACGTATGTTTAAAATCTTTTTACAAAAATGTACATGTAATTTCTCAATCATATTGGTATTTTCAAACCCCAAACATTCTGAGTAGTACAAAGGGATTGGGGATATTAATACATCAAACAATTTTAATGGTAGGTCAATTGGTACAGATGACCATCTCTCTGTTAAGTACGCATTATATCATTGTTTAAATATCACAAAGAAAGTTCACCTTCGCGAAAGATTGGCCTTTGGCATTCTAAACTCACTACACTCAAGCCAAATATGCCTTGTCAATCACAGATGTAATAGACGATATCACAACAAAAGAAAACATTGAATTGCCTAACTTTCTCATTACCCTACACATAACAAATATCAGTTATACAATGGAGACAAACTTGTAATTGATATAACCCTACAGGTCGAGGTATAAGCCTAGTATTACATTAATGAAATAGATTCACCGTTGTTAAGATATGCTAGCACATTTGATTTGGAATAGAGACGATCAGCACCGTTTGGTATACAGTAACAAACCATCCATTCATCCAAAATGAAATGGTTGATATTGATACTGGCGCTTCCTGTCGGTGAGTGTTATTTCATTATTACATATCTTGTTATAATTTAACATCTTTGCGTATTTGATAAGATGTTCTCTGGCAAATAAAATGTTTGATGTTTTCATCAATTTGGATATCGCTTAAAGAAACTAAGATTTATAAAACTTTATATCTATTTCGTAGTTTTTAGCCTATTAAAGGGACAATTTAGTGAAAACAGTTGTTCATAACGTTGTCACAAACTTCTTCATGATCATATAGTTGGATACTCCTTATGAACAATTCCTGTCGAGAAATTCACAAGAGACAATTTTTCTTGGCGTTTTTAATCAGTAATGGAGAAATCCTTAACTGTACAGCCGTACGTTTTAGCGGCAGCTGTCGGTGAATTTTTAGCTAACAAAATGTCTTTCCAGCCGAGGAGAAAAGGTCACTTCTCGCTTTATTCACCTAGCCTCTCTGGAATACAAGTACGTGCATTCATTCTGAATCAAAATCATCTTGCAACATCATCTTAATCTCAAGCATCGTCATAAAAGGGTACTTTCTGCGGTTTGAAATTATCCCTGCGGCACCCTTCTCAGTGCGTGCATACTCTAATTAAACCTGTTCGTTATTGAAATCCAAAGATGAACAGAAATATCTTATTAGAGGTTTACATTATGGTACTTATAATTCTTACTTGTGATACATTATGTAAACTCAAGAATGTGAAATGTGTGAACTCAGACTCGTAACTGGCACGGTGTTGTCGGTCGACAGCGAGTGCTGTACATGTTTACTCTTCACTGAAAGGCCCGGATATTGTGCTATTTCTGTCGTAGCTATTTTTATCACGGGCTTTCCCAAAAGATGAAAATGACCACACTGGACGTTGGCGCCAGGTCATGCCATTATCAAGAGAGAAAACTTTCGTTAGGAGATATAACTTTTCAGTATCGACTCGATTTTCAGGTTGTTATTTGACTAAATAGCCCCTTTAAGTAAAAACAACAAAACATCTATCTGGTTCTTTTATACAGGTCGGAGTTTATGCGAAACGTCCTAAACTTCACGAAACTCTATCACCTTCGTTCTGTTATACGAAAGCATTATACAGTTTGGAGAAAAATGTTAAAGCTTTCATATAGACAAACTGAAATTGGGGAATTGATTTAAGCTAAGCTAAGGAACTCGAGTCTAATGATACCAATAAAGTACATTATATGGGACTTCGAACATTTCTTATCGAAATTGGTTTTAAAATACATTTGTTTTCATAATATAGACGATAACGTCTATTTAACATAATAGCAAAGATTGTTTGCATTTCATAGTTAAAATGATCTGTTTCTATAACAAAACAATTTATATTAATGTTTGCATTTCATAGAAGCGATCATTCATATTACAGCTGATGTTAACATAATTTTAGCCTTCATAGTAAAACTTTCGCTTTGATAAAGATGTCACGGGTGTTCTAAATATTGTGTTTTTCCTTTGCTTACCGTGACTGCCACAGCTACCGTATCAATCACACCCCGTAAAACAAGTACGTTGCTACGATCATCATCATCAGAACCAAGAAGACTGACAAAACTTATACCAGGTAAGTCTCCTGATAAAGAGCGTGTCTTTACCACAGCAGAGCATTCACTGTCTCACTGCTAATCAGCTGAATCTGGTATCATATCATATTACTGTACGTAATAAACTATATCCGACGTCTATCTGGATACGCTATAACACTTTGTACACTTGTTTGTATACATGTACGAAATAAACAATTTAACCGCGTAAAATAAAGGGGGAAACAAGCAAAGACAAACCAAAGATAAGAACAAAATGAAGGTCAGGTTGACATCCCGTATATAAAAGAAATATCCGCAAACATCTAGAAGATATAACGGGGCCATGGCATAGCAACAGCCCTGAGAAGCCAAACAGGGCACTTAATTATATCCGTGTACACCCCAAGGTTAGAACAACTAAAGAACATCGTTGCAAAATGGATTTGTCCTAGATTAACACGGCGTTGATAAAGCTGAAAGTGTCAACCCCTTCAGAACTAATGGTCTTTTAACTTGTACGTGTTCGTGGGTGTCTTTGTAGCTTTTTCTTTTGATCATACAGATGTCCTAGTTTTATCAAATCGGAGTTCAAAATACGCTGTTGCCTATACTTATATGTTATCTGGTTACCAAGAGTAACGCGTCCACGAAATAATGTGGAGATAAGCATAAGCCTATTTCAGAACATTGAAATTCCTTATTTTGACTTTTAAAAGTATTTAATGCGCTTTTTATCAAATTTGTGCTAAATTCTATAATATGTGTTTTGTTACTTCGTATTTGGTATTAATATGTTCGTGCTATAACAAAGCGTCTGGCTAAATAAAAACGGGAAGAAATTGCTGAAACAGCAAACCCTTCATCTACTATGACATTTACTACCAAGCATGTTACACATATTTTAACAGTAAAACATTCCTTAACTACAGATCGACCTTCCACCTATAGTCACATGGGACTTCTTGGACAAATCATCAGATCATCCGATGTATCAGTACAAAGAACGAGTTATCGATCAATCAAGTCAGAGGTAATACCGTTGTATCGTCAAAATAAACCATGTGGCCCATTCGACTGTGACAGGCCGTATCCAATACCAGGGCCTACGACATACCCAATACGTGAATCTTCGAGCTCGTACCGTACGTCGCCTTCGACGTCGACCACGAAATCGCCTACCACAACAACAATAACGCCTTCTACGACAACAACAACGCCTACTACGACAACGCCTACTACGATAACGACAACACCTACTACGACCACGACAACGCCTACTACGACAACAACAACCCCTACCACGACAACAACAACGCCTACTACGACAACGCCTACTACGATAACGACAACACCTACTTCGACAACGACAACGCCTTCTACGACAACAACAACCCCTACTACGACAACAACAACGCCTACTACGACAACAACAACGCCTACCACGACAACAACAACCCCTACCACGACAACAACAACCCCTACCACGACAACAACAACCCCTACTACGACAACAACAACGCCTTCTACGACAACAACAACCCCTACCACGACAACAACAACGCCTACTACGACAACAACAACGCCTACCACGACAACAACAACCCCTACCACGACAACAACAACCCCTACCACGACAACAACAACGCCTTCTACGACAACAACAACCCCTACCACGACAACAACAACGCCTACCACGACAACAACAACGCCTACCACGACAACAACAACCCCTACCACGACAACAACAACCCCTACCACGACAACAACAACGCCTTCTACGACAACAACAACCCCTACCACGACAACAACAACGCCTACCACGACAACAACAACGCCTACCACGACAACAACAACCCCTACCACGACAACAACAACCCCTACCACGACAACAACAACGCCTTCTACGACAACAACAACCCCTACCACGACAACAACAACGCCTACCACGACAACAACAACGCCTACCACGACAACAACAACCCCTACCACGACAACAACAACCCCTACCACGACAACAACAACCCCTACCACGACAACAACAACCCCTACCACGACAACAACAACGCCTACCACGACAACAACAACCCCTACCACGACAACAACAACCCCTACCACGACAACAACAACCCCTACCACGACAACAACAACCCCTACCACGACAACAACAACCCCTACCACGACAACAACAACCCCTACCACGACAACAACAACTCCTACTTCGACAACGACAACGCCTACCACGACAACAACAACCCCTACCACGACAACGCCTACCTCGACAACAACAACGCCTACTACGACAACGACAACGCCTACTACGACAACAACAACGCCTACTACGACAACAACAACTCCTATTACGACGACAACAATGTCTACCACGACAACAACTCCGCCTGCAACGACAACAACGACAACCCTACCACCTTAACAACAACAACGCCTATAATATGACAGATATGACATCAAAGGAAACAATCTTGAGGCCTCACGGAAACCGTCAGATATGACGTAACAATAAGTTCCCGACGGGAATCCCAATGAAAACATATTATTAAAAATATCTATTTAAACCAAAGTATGGGAATGATGAGAGAAAAACAATCGTCTCCTACCTTGAGAGTGAAACAGAGAAATGTTCAAACCCTCTGGGTGATAACTTTGTCGTCTAACCCTCGGCAGAGGTTCGGATGAGACAACAAAATAGTCACCCTTAGAGTTTGAACGTTCCTCTGTCACAACCTCAAGGTAGTAGAACATTTTATTAATCGTGAATTAAATCAAAATATCAATGTCTATAAAACAAATCGAAAGTGTGACATCAATTATTGGTAGACAAAATTCCTTAGTTCGCAAAGACGGAAATATGTTTAAAAATATTTAACTGAAGTGAGAGACAAACTGATTCAAAGAAAATATCAAAAGAAATATCCATTTATATAATTATTAAGGCAATCATTTACTGTAAATATGTGACCTGTCCTGAATAAAACTCTTTCTTGAAAACAAATTCAAATTATAATATGAAAATTAGTTGAGTGTTACACTGTACTAATATACAATTGAAGCTTAACATATTTTTTGTTAATTTGTATTCCTTAGTTCCTGTAAATCATGTTGTTTGACTTTTTCCAGTATGTTTACCTTATAGAACGGACGGTTCCAATAAATACAAATAATGAATTGATGTGTTCCGGAAGCGTATAGTTGCCATTATATATAGACTTATTAATATACACCCCAACAAAAATTAGTATCCCCCGCTTTCACCGAAACGGGGGATATTAATTTGGGTTTGTCAGTCTGTCTATCACGCTTCGTTTCCGTGCAATAACTGCAACAAATGTTAACCGATTTTCTTCAAACTTGGTCACAGCGTTAAATGCCGTTAGGGCTCGTCCGAGTTTGATGACCACTTTCAGCTAACTTTATTTGGCGGAGTTATTGCCACTTGAATAACGAAAAAGGTCATTATTCGCGTTTCCGTCCAATTTCTGCAACAAATGTTAACCGATATTCTCCAAACTTGGTACCAGGGTTAAAGGCCTTAATGCCGCGGGCAAGTTTGACAACCACTTTAATCGGACTTTATTTGATGGTTTTATGGCTCCTTGATTAAGGAAAACGTCATTATCTGCAGTTTCCGCTAAATAACTCTAGCAAATATTAGCCAAATTCCTTCAAACTTGATAACAATGTTTGTATTCCTCTGTCTTTCCAACCATCTCGGGCACTCTTTGGGTTTCTTGTGATAATTGCTGTAGATATTGTGCAGATTCTTCAACAAAATTCCATACGCACATCCGACTCATGCTAATTTTGCCAACCGATGTCATTTGTGCATATTTACGGATAATTAATGAGGTTAGTAAATTCTGATGGATTAAGGGATTAATTTACACTGTAATACCTACATGTTCGTAAAAAGTCTAACTTCTGTATAAGGCTTTTTTTTTCTTCGAGTTTCAAGCTATACATTATGTCTCAACAGCACGATACTCACATGTTTAAACCTAACCTCAATAATATATTACCTACAATATGTCCAGCATGCGGGGGATATAAATTCAACGAATTTGCTTGTTTCGAGATAGCAATAAGTTTCCTGTTATATCAAGTAATATATCTTGAGATAAATACTTGATGTAACTATGTCAACTTATGATACTTCAGTAAATAAATCCACGATATACTGGATATTGAGATAAGATGTATGCTACTATCTTTTTCATGTGTGAATGATATTCATGATATGTAGACATACAATGTATCGAGTTGTAACTATTAAAATATTTTGTCGGCATAAATATATCGAGTTATTGTTATTTACATGATATGTTGACATACAATATACTTAATAAGCTGTTACTACAAGCAGCAGACACCCCATTCACAATCAGGCAGTGTACTAGCCATGGGTCCTTACAGTCTTGGCCGCCCCTATAGGGATTTAGGATTATAACCTCCTAAATTACACGCCGATTTCGATGACACTTTGTGCACAAAACCAAATAATACATCCAGAGACTGCAAATAAAGTATTGAATTGGCGAAACCTCCAATTTTATGGTTATCATCTCCATTTTGGAAAGTAATATTCTTTTAGTTATTTGCACAGACAGGGAGTGCTTGTGGTGGTGATGAGTGGTAAGGGAGGGGGTTATAGTCTATTATTCTGGCGACAGATCGAGTTTTTTCTGTATCCTTTTGATAACTCAACAGGGTACTCAACATATTTATATTGAAAACAAAATGCTGATGGGCTATGGATACCCCTGGGCCTCTTGTTAACCATTACAAAAATGTTACTTCATTGGTATGGAAAATGATTTGGAAAGGACACAGTGAAAATGATAGTGAAAACAAATGATTGTTAATAGTTCAGCTGAGAGGAGACCATTTTTAAGACGGAAAACAAAAACCAGATAACAATGGATTTTTCTGTGGCATTTCAATGGGTTTTTGTTTTCAAAAGATCTGGCAAAATGACTATGTCAGGTTCGTACGAACTGTACTGTCACTTTATGTGTGAATAACAGATATCAACCAAAAACAATTAGAATACCAAGTATCAACGCCGGCCAATCTGTCTACATCTACGTCTTGTATCAAACTGCATGGCAGCAAAAGATGGAAGACGGAAACCGGACATTGTCGAGTTTTATAACAAAAAATATGGGCGGTTTGGACTTGAACGACATGCTGACTCGAACTTATGACGACAACCGCAAAACCCTTAAATTGTGGGAAAAGATCGTGTTCAACGTCATCCATAGGATAGTGTCAAATGCCTATATATGTTATTCCTAAAATACAGATACGAATCAAAAGTTGAGCAGGGCGACATGAATCAGGATATCGTGGACAGTCTATGTAGTGATCAGTTGGAGAATAGGGAAACCGAACGATAAGAAATCCGGGGGCCGGGACGGTGTCGCTTGATATATCCACGACCACACCAGCAGAAGGAGTGTGTTGTTGTCTGCTTGCGCGTCAGGGGCAACGGGGGGCTCATTTATTTTTCACTTCAACATATTTTATTGACAAAAAAAGAATGTTACACTGTCAAAATGATTGGACAACAGGCTTATAGGCTATATAAGTCCTCTCCATTGGTGGTAGATATATGGACAGAATGGATTGATATTATAATTATAAAGAGTTTGCTTACTGTCAAGAATTAATCATTGGAAACGGGTAACATATTTGGCGTTAGAACCATTTTTTTTTAGACAAAATGTGACTTCAAAAATAAAGGTACAGTACTGTTCATTTCTAAGACCTCATGCAGCTGATGTAAAAAATATGATAAATACATAACTATTTAGTACCGGATACAATATGAATATGTACGAATTGGCCCGATGATTTAATTTCTGGTACATATAAAGTGTAATCAACATACATTTTATTTTGTGGTAATATATTTGTGTATCCATTATACTTGGTAATTAGTGTTATTTGATAACAATATAAATTGCTTAAAATTCCGATTATATTTCTTCTAGATATTGTCTATAGTTCTACTGCCAATTAACATAATTAAGAGGGCACTATAATGTAGCCTGTACGTTGTAAAATTGTACGGTGATCAATATATAGGTCAAAATTTAAGTTGCTACATCCATTTCTAAGTTGACAAAGTATGATATTACCCTTCCTTGATCCTTTATTTTTGAATGCAATTGAAACTCTTACATCTTCCTCTTCACTGACATTTGCCATGTTTATAACTTTCTTACGGAGGCTCCGTGCGAGTACGGCATGCTCTAGGTGTTTCCGTGGAGTACATGCGCTGTGTCTTACACGACACAGTTGCCGTCGTGAAGACTAAATAAATATAGATTTCATCATTACTATGCTTGTTTTCTGGTTTTCTGTTTGGACAAATGGGAACATGTAATGCGAAAAAAGTCGTTATTTCCAGGATTAATACCATTCCATCTGGAGCTTTTGTAATAATACCTGAAATTTGACAAATAATACATGACAATACATCTTTCGTATACTTTCATTGGTTGTACATTGACACATTTAACAACGTATACCGTTGAAAAAAATATCCATTTTGTGACGATTTTCCTTGTGTAGACATACTGACGTGTCATCATCGCTTGGCCCATTGTTCAATTGTTCTTCGTCATCTATTTTCAAATCGCATTTTGATCAAAATTTGGCTTGGCACTCTCTTAGGAGATTCCTGTGGCACTCAAAGGGTTAGTAAATAAAAATTACGATTTCATAAAAGTTTGGAAATATTGACCTAATTTCTGAGAAAAAAAAGAGGATATTGATTTGATGGTATTCTGTTTGTCTGTTATGCATTATTGCTAACCTCTGTGTAGTGCATGCCTTACATGTACAATTTGTCAGATTCCAATCCTAGTTTTGCTGAACTCTTAGACTGCCGAAAATTTGACTCGGCCAATTTCAAGTTTCTACAACTGTCCTGACAAGTGTGAAGTTTAATTATTATGACGTCAATGTATTGTTGACGCCAAGCTAATCTGGCGGCTCGAAAATTGCACGCTTATGCAAACAAATTTAGTTCTATAGCGTCACTTGTTTGGGAGGCGTTCGAAGTATTTGAAAAAAAAATCTGTGTAGTTTTGAATCACGAGTATACTCATAGTAATGTTATAAGTGATAACAAAGTTATCCATTTCTTACACTAAAAAACACTGCATTTCTGTACCGCTCTCCTTATCTAGCGCATGTCTATTGCAATGTCAACTTAATATTATATACCCAAAAGATAATTCTCGATCAATTTAGGGGTTAACTAAGAAAATAATACAGGTATTTGATAAAATCTTGATTATAGGAGATTATCGATTAACTTTAAAGATACTGTTTTCTCCCATCCTTCATAGGTGTGTCTTCCTTTTAAATTGGGAAATAACAGCTTGTCACCCCCTAAGGGGAGATAGCCTCGTGCCGATTAGCACGTGTTCAATTGTGACGTCATTAACATATGTCACCGGTAATTGTGACGTCATTACAAGTGAATGACGATATGCATACCCCATATGTGTTTTTATTTACAAGCATGGCAGACTACTGTCGTTGGAGTTGTGACTGAAACAATAGGCTGGGAGAAAAATAATCATCCCCTACCTTGAGGGTGTAACAGAGAAATCTCAAACCCTCGGGGTGATTTTTTGTTGTTTTCCAACCCTCGGCAGAGCCTCGTATTAAATAAATATTAAACTTAGAATGGCACGTTTCTGGAATAATTTAATCGATACGCGTAATGAAAGTAAACTCAGCAGTATATTGTTGAGATTGGCACTTAATTTACACGACACTGAATCATATTCTTTTAAATGGATTAGTAAAGTTAAAAGTATTTTTGATGAATCTGGTTTTTCATACATTTTTGAAAATAAGATATGTATGAATAATATGTTCTTTAAAAATCACCTTAAACAAAGACTTCGAGATCAATTTATACCAAACTGGTTTTCCGAAGTTCATAAATCGTCGAGAGGAGAATTCTACTCAATGTTCAAGTGTGAATTCGGTTTTGAAAAATATTTGATAAAATTGTCAGAAAATATTAGATTACCTATTACCAAACTACGTACGTGTAATTTGAAATTTCCCATTGAAACTGGGAGGTGGCAGAATATTCCAAAAGTAGATAGGATATGTAACCTTTGCCTTGAAAATATTGGAAATGAATTTCATTATCTTTTTACTTGTTGTAATGTGGAAGTGAAAAATTTACAAAGAAAATACGTTCCAAATTACTATCGTACAAATCCAAATGAAAATAAAATGAAAGGTCTTTTGTCAATATGTCACGAACAGTGTATTTCATTTTTATCTTAAATCAAAGCACTGATATGGGGTCACGGGTCATCAGAAAGGTTGCGCGTACACTGTAGGGCTGCAACGGTATATCGCGATTCTTTCTTGTGTATCGTATCGAATTGTTTTGTTTGCCTATCAGTACTTTAACTATCAATCGATTTTATCATACTCTAAAAATGTGTAATTATATTTACTGAATCCTTCATTAAAGATGTGGTGCACTGTGCAGTTATTCCCCAGAGTACTAGAAATTATAACAAAAATACATTTCAATAGCATATACTATTAAATTCTATGACAAAACTCGATAAAATTGCACTCAATCATTATAAAGTTGACATATTAAGCAAATATGTGTATTACATGTAATTATGTATCGATGTGTTTTTTTAACATTAAGACGCTCATTATCTATTCAAAACAAATGTTCATTCCCACAGTATAAATATGTACATGTATTGCAAGAAATCTATACATATTTTATTAGCTCAATTTTTACTCAGCCTGGGCACAAATTGAGATTTTCTTCAATTCCTTGCTCAGTGAAGTATTTTTTAATCAAATAAAGTAGACTGTGTGCTAGAGTTTGGCTTCTTGGTTCAACTATTTGATAAAAATAGAATTATAAGACTCGAAATAATTATAATCTTACTTTCTGTCTGCTCAGCATCAAGCCTAGATCAACATAGATGCATACCGTGAAATATTTGGTCAGGAGCATTTTGGGAGCGAGGGTTGAGTTTGACTTTGAGTTATTTTCAAGGTCTCCAGTTTCAAACGTGTTTAATTCTGTCAAAGACTTTTTTCTGAATAAGCAAGAGGTTAAGAGTCATATGATATTTGCCAAGCCTCTAGCTAGTGGGGAGGGCTATCAAGTTTGTTGCAATAAATGCCGTTGTTCGCATGGGTTAAATGGGTTAACCCTGAATAGGTCTAGATTTGTTACATTTTGCTAGTAACTTGCAGGAATAACACTTTCAAATCTGTTGAATTAGATGACCCTGACTAACTTTGAAGATCACCAGCTCTGGTGTAAATGTCCTCAAACATGGACATATCATGACAGTTTCCAGAGAAATAGTTCAGTATGACGTCATAAAGGTATATATTGACGTCATCGTCTATTTTTGGCGTATTTCCTGTGATTTTTTGAAGCGAAATATAGTGAGACTTTATGGAGAAACAATCTTATTCTACACTTCTCGATTAGTATATGTGTTAAGTATTGTCACAAACAAGAAGTAATCAAATCGGCCCCAAACGGCACCCGGCAGTTAAGGGGACATGTTAATCGGCCCAATCCTCCACCCCACCCCACCCTCACCCTTCTCGGCAGTTAATGGGACGATAAATCGGCCCAAATTGGCCCCTGGCAGTTAAAAGGTTAAAGTAGTCAACATGTTTACATATTTGTACGTATCCATGATACTTTTGATGTATGCCTAGTTAATTTGATCAGGTAATTTCTATGTGATAGGTTCCCTTACTGCCGTTTAATTCGAATAAAATATATGTTCCAATTAACTAATTACGTCATTCGGGACGAATGCTCCACGAAGAAGGGGGCAATGTTACGTTTCACCCATGTTATAAGACATGAGTCGATTCAGACACGATTTAAGAACTTATAGCTTCCCTTTTAATGTAAACGAAGTATGCCTATATCCTTCGTAGATTAAATAAGCGATGCGAAATTCCAGCAGAGAATCTTCAAATATGACGTCATTGCTCAATGCTGATTGGCTGATGCAACCCAGGCAGAAAGTATAAAAGCCGGTAATAGTGAAGCTGATTGCAATTCACGATACAAGGGAAGCAACTCGAGCTAAGGATATGTTTACTAAGATTTCAGACTACTAGATTTCTCCCAAAATACCGTCAATAGTGTTTATATAGCGGTAATGATTATCACATGATATTGTAAATAATACTATCTATTCTTTAATATTAAATGAACTAAGTATTTGTATTCAAGTGTTTGTCAACTTCTTTCAACTTCAAAGATACTGGACAGGAGCGAACCTGAATTTATGTAACCCGCTCTGTTTCCCTGTTTCTCCCATAAAGTGTTTGTTCACCACAACATATTGGCCAG